GCTTTTTTTTTTTTTTTTAAGCAGACAAAAACAACAGTTAACGGCGCAAATTGTTATTATTATTATTATTATTATTATTATTATTATTATTATTATTATTAGAACATTGCTTTCTTTTGAGATTTTAAGGTCGGTACACACATGCGTAAGAGGTTCCAGGACACCCTTCCACAAAATTGCACGAGGGGATTTCATTGATGACTGCTGCTTTCAATATCATGTTTATTTCATCAAAATTTCAGTCTATGATGGTGGAATGTGAATTGGTGATGACATGATGATCATGAATGCCGCTTAAAAACTAGCCGAGCGTGTCCGCTAATTTTAGAGAGTCGATAATGGAGTGAGCTTGTAAATTAGTGTTTTAGGATCTTTTAATATTTTTATTTCATCAAAGTTTTAGTCTATGATAGTGAAATGTAAATTGGTCATATATTAATAAAGATTTTTCCTTTATTATTGTTATTATTATTATTATTATTCTATTTTGAGAGTTGACCGTTAAATTCCAGAGCTTTTGACTGTTGTATGTTTTTGAGTGGAAGTTGAATCCAACCGTTCAGCTAAATATTTGCTTTTACATGTATATAAACTAATTCCCCGTAAAAAAATATAAAACAGCGAACTGATCCTCACGGCGAAGCGATAAACAAGTAAACAAAATAATGAAACAAAAATATCTTTGAAAAAAATTTTTCTGAAGTTTCGGTTTGGAAGACAAACCTTCCTCGAGGACTAAAAGAAAAAGATGATCCACCTCTTCCGCCTCTACAAATGACGTCACAATACCATTTTAGGATTCCTTGCTATTGATATCTTAAGAGGAGAGGGATAAGGCAAACTGATTAACGTTACCGATCATTTAAATTGAGCGTAATCGTACCTGACTTTTGGTCATCCGCCTGGGGCTCAAATGTAGTCACCACTATATATTATCACCATCATTATCATTATTTTCTGGTTGTTGCGTTTAATCTTGGGTCAACAAAAAGCGTTTTAATAACTTTAACCTACTGAATAATTTCTTCACCTTATTATCAATTTATTTGTTTATTTATCTACTTATGTTTTTTTAGCTGTGTACAGGCTGAGCCTCCAGTTAACGCTTCCACGAGAGACAAGTATTGTATCTTCTACGAATACACTAAAGGGACGCTCTGCAAGGGGATTATTACCAGTCTCTACGTATTTGGCAACCAGGCGACCGTGGATTACGGTGACAGGGAAACTTCTACTTTTCAAAGCTATTTTAATTTCTTCGAAATATCTGAGCGGTGTCAACCCATAATGAGAGACCTGTTTTGCCGTTATCACTACCAGCCGTGCGATATGTCCTTACGAATACCCCGACCTCGGCGGATTTGTCGCAGGACGTGCGAACATCTTGACTATGTTTTATGCGTAAAGGAGATGGAATTTATTAGGAACGCTGCCAAGACTGCCCCAAGATTTGATTACGACATGATAAACTGTTCAATTTATACTGTTGCAAACGGAGGTGACGCCCCTGAGTGCTACCAGTACCAGCCCCTACTAGGTGTGTATACTGAAGGCAGCCCTGTATTAGTTAATCGTCCATCATTAGCGAGAATAAGGTTCCAAATGGGATCCTCCTTCTGAGGGCCTGAAAATTTTGTAAATATTATTAACTTTGAATTTTTTTCAAGAATTGTGATAGTTTTCTGGTGTTGTGGACGGGTGCAATTTTCAAATGACGTAATACAAAAGATTGAAAAGGCACCCAACAATACACACACCAGAAAATGATATTAGGCTGATTGAGCAACAAAACGGGAACGTCAGTTGACGAAGAGGCCCGAAAATCAAACAACTGGCTTGACCAATGGCAGAGCGGCGAATTGGGCACCGGAAGTCGCGTTTAGTACTTTCTGCGCGCTTTCTCGTCGTCAACTGGCGTCCCTGTTCTGTTGCTAAATCAGCCTAATAGCTAACCAACAACGGTTCCTCCAATGCTTGAAGTTGGAGATATCTTTAAGACGTACACTTACCTCAAGTCGAATCGGTGTTCACTCTTGAAACAGTTTTTTTATATGCATAGTCATGTCGCTCTGGAATGGTAACGTCATACCAAGGGACGAAAACCAGTGTAAAACCAATGGGGTAGAACTGAGTTCCATAACTGTGTGAAGCAGCCAAAGCCTGTCTAACCAAAATTCACCTTTTCATTAATTCCTTATAGATGATGATACCAAGAGCACAGGTTAGTCTTGACCTTGCTAGTATATTGTAGTCAATTATATGATATTTATTAAAGGAGCAATCTCCCTTCTTGGCTTTCCGCAGGCCCAAGAAAGACTTACAAAGTCGGCTGATCTTTGGGATAGATAATTAAGCTACTTCATCCAGTGTGGCAGACTTTTGTTTTCGTTTTCGACCTTCAATTCCCTGTTAAAACCACTGCCTGGGAGTTGGATAAAATATAATTTCCCCCATGTAGAGAAACCCGAAAGACAGAAATGTAAAGTCTAATCATGTGTTTTCTACAGATTGTTTTTACGATATCGGTGTTGGCTATCGAGGTACTGTCAACACCACCCGGTCTGGCCGTACTTGTCAGCGTTGGGCCTCACAATGCCCCCACCGTCACTGGCGGATTCCTCAAGATGTAGTTGATGGCCAAAATGACTCCAACATGTGTCGCAACCCAGAGGGAAGTGCCCCGGATGGACCTTGGTGTTATACCACTGACCCCAAAGTTCGATGGGAATACTGCAATATATCAAGATGTCCTCCAAGAGGTAGAATTAGTGTCCATCTAAATAGCGCTGGACCTATGTAGTTTATAGAACTGAAAGTCAGATTTAAAAAAAAATGCCATAAGCATTAGTGAATTCCTCACTTTGATTGTCTTTTGTGACTAAAATGTCATGTTTATCGGACTTTTGTCATAAAAGGACAAAAATGACAAAAGTCAGGATAACATTGAAAATAAGTCACACAGACGTCATTTGTGGGCTGTGCTAATTAAAAATCATGTCGCCAAGTTGCAATAAAATTGCTACTTATTCCGCGCTGGCCACAAATGCCTTCTTTTCAGCCTGAAGGTGATTCCCTGGTTTTGCACTGCGCATCTCTTACTGCGCATACCAAGATGGCCGCCGTAAAAAAGAGCATGTGAAGTAACATTATTAAAATGAAGCTGACTGAAGAGAAACGCTATTGGAATTTTTGCTTGCTGTTGTTTCTTGCCGAGGTGAGACTCATTGTGTTGGGAAAGTGCATAACGTAAGCAGTACGGGTGTTGCTGAGTTCGACTTCCTCTCGGAGAACCTCGATAGTGGATGTTTAAGTTATGCTTACTCACTTTGATTTTCATTTAAACGCTTTCTTTATCAAAAGCCAATTTCTTTATTAAAAGCGGATGTTTTAATACTTTCTTTACCCTTTCACATACATTCTGTTTTGAAACTCGCCCCAGTCCTCTCTCAAAAATCGGAAAAAATGCATTTGGTGCGCACTTTCTGCAGTTCTACCGCAAAAACGAGTACGGTGACCCACATTTTTTATTTCATGATTTTAATAAGGACAGTGCTTCCTTTCGATGAGAAAAAAATTGGCACAAATCTATGTTCAGTTTTTTGGCAATTTTAATAAATTGTACGGATTGAGCTATCACGGGTCGAATAGCGCGTGTCCAATTTAATTCTAATTTGGAGCGTAAAGTAAAAACAAGGGCATTAAAAAGCATTTTTCTGGTACGTAAGTGGAAAAACAATACATTAAAGTCAAATTCCGTGCGATACCACATGCATCATCGAAAAAATCTCTCCTTTTTGTCTAGTTTTGGGCTGCACGCGGTTTTTGTGAAAGGGTCCTAAATAGCCGTATTTAAAAGCATTGTGACGTCAAAACGAGCACGGTGACCCCTCCTCTTTATTACTTTTTTATCATCTTCTTGACTTGTTACATCAGTGTACCAAGTTTCATCTATAATCTATGTTAGGTTCTTTTACTAGGGAATCACCTTAAGCACATGTGAAATGATGTGTAATGAGAGTTTTTAAGGCTTCAAAGATGGGAGCCACCCGATGATCTTCGCTTCCACGTTTTCCCTGCCCATATATAACACATTTAGTTTGGACAAAAAAAAGCACAACCATTAATCTGGCCAAGGTATTACAGTCACCCAAACGCAAATTAATTCTTTAGAATTTTTTTTTCCCGGGCGTACATCTTCAATAAAAATTGCGTAACATATCAACGACCATCTCACCATAGAGCTTGAGGCTAGTGACAGAACTTGGTAGCGGCAGGTCGTTGAAAGCCAACTGAAAAATATCCACTAATCATAGCGGAGCCTCCGCGCGCGAAGCGCACAGCGGAGCACCTTCGGTAATAAAATTTGGTAAACTATCTATCCGACATTATTTGGTTATGACGTCACCGTCCGTCCGTCCGTACGTACGACCGTACGTACTCTCCGGGTAGGGGTAAGTAGAAACGAATTCCTCCCCTCTCCCCTAGAGAGTTTTGTCCCCTATTGTTTCAAAAGCCTTTAGAAATGATTGACAAATCAGAATCTGTCAACTGACCAAATGTTTGGTAGATTTTAGGGGCCGACCATTTGACTTTTGAGGAGGTTATGGGTGATTTTAGAAAAAATGTCGTGCAGTCTGACTTCGAGAGGAAAAAAGGATGCAGATAATTCCTGGGAGAGAAATATCCTGCACTGAAAAAAATATCGCTCATGACGTACAATGCTGAAAAAAAATCTTACACCGTCATATGTTGGGGAAAAAATTTCTAAATCCAGAGAGGTTTGGGAAAAAATTCTTCCAATACAAACTAAATCAGTAAAATCACCCATACGCTACTCCCCCACAAACGTCCAATGGTCATGTCAACCATTTAGGGGGTGAGGGAAGAAACGGATTTGACACCTTTGTTAATGTCATTCATTAACCGGCCAAATGGCTGGCGCGCGTTCATGATGTGGTGGATTTCAAGACTAAAGTTTTGCATTTCAAGATTGAAAATACGCCGATAAAAGACACAAATAGAAAGAGAAAGTTCGAAAGAATGCTCAGTTTCCTTTTTGTGGGCAAACGAAAGCTTTTCGCTATGAAATTGTCTTTGGAGGAATTCAACCTTGTTTTGTGCACGGCGGATAGGAGCGCTTGGCTTGTTTTGAACCAACCAAGGCAGCGAGGTTTCTGAAGACACTTGAGGTACATTCCGTAATCTATGATCAAAGAAAAGTACGTCATTAAAAAAGAGTTTTTGTATAATAAAAGTTTCATGGACGTTTTCTACATTTTGACATCGACGTGAAAGAAAAAAAAAATGTGCATTTGAAATGGATTTTTTTTTTTACCATGTGCTCAACTGGTTTAACTTGCGTGAACGCAAGGATTTAACTTGTCTTACGCGAATTGCTTTTTAGGATTAACGTATGGGTTTTTGAATAAATATTTTAAAGAAATTAAGTTATTTATCTGTCATTATTCATTCACAACGTTAGCTCAAAAAAACGACCATGAGACTACTGATCGTGAGATTTTTAGAAACATTCAGACTGGCCCTTTCTTGAATTAAAACTGAAGTGTTGTTTTTGTACGTTCCTCATTGAATTCATTTTCTCATTCATTACTTGCCATTCAAGAATTACGCAGTGTGTAGAATTCAAGAATTTCTGCAGTGTGCAGTGCGCTGCTCTTTTGCCACAACTTGTGCCCCGAACACAGCTGAATACCGCGTGAATTTTGCGTTTGCGTTTATTTTCAGTTGTTTGTTTAAGGCTTTACATTCTCACTGAAAAAGTGAGCTTATCTAAAAAATAAAAGATTTCTCCTCTATTCTAAAACGGACAGACTCGCCGGCTTTTCGAGCCCAAGTTTGTTTGTTTTAAGTTGCTGTATTAACGTTTATATTTGTAGTGAAAGATTGGATTATTGTTATCAGTAGTAGCGAAAAAGGATATCGTTTGCTTTCCTATCTCTGTCCACAGCGAAAAGATATTTTGAGGTATAAATGTAAAGGCTACACATAACTGTTCGTCCGGGCCCATTTAAAGAAAAAAAGAAAGAAAAGAGAAGAAAATGTAATGGGCTTACGGGAAGACAAAAGTCCTTTAGTCGGCCTGATTTTTCTGTAGGTCTTCCCTTAAACACAGAAACACCGACCCTAGAATCGTAACCTGTAAATTGCTGCTACCTAAGAGGCCTACAATTTAACAATTTTTTCAATTCAGGTTTGTTTGCGTGGTATTTTTTCTTAATCATTTAGCCCCTCCCTCTAAAGGTGTCTGATGCCGAAGGCTCTTAGGGATGTGAAGATTTCTTTTTTTTTGGCTTAGAGTTCAGGTTATTACTTTAATTTAATTGCTTTGATCATAAGTATAGAAACAGGGGCCTCGCTTTCAGCCCTGGCTAAATCTATATATTAAACAATGTATGCACATAAATGATAACGATAACTCCCGAGTAAGACGGAAATTTGAGCTGTGTTTGTCGCATAATATATTTTAGTTTTCCTTTTTACTAGTTCCAAAGAATGCTCCCGGGTTTGTAAAAACCCTCTCAATTCATCTTCTGTGTACATCTGGTGGGAAAGAATCCCTCCAACAAAGTACAAGGAAAAACTGCTAGGCTACAGGATAAGATACAATCCCCTTGGATCCCAGTCATATAAGGAAATGAACGTCACAAGCAACGTCACAGAGGTTGTCATTAATGGACTTCCGTCAACCACTAGATATCAGATCACGATAAATGGATTTAACAAAGTCGGCCACGGACCAACCAGCAAAGTTCTTGAATTGAAAACGTTGTCACCTGGTAAGTAAATAAGCAAGTAATCTAAATAACGACAACGATAACTAATAATGATAATAGTAGAAAGAAAAAAAGAAAAAGAGAGAAAGAAAGAGTACTGCTGCCGTCGACAGGTGCACATCCTTCGGATTAGCTCATAGTTAAAAAAAATGTCTCCATGGTCAGCCCAATTCGCTTCTTTGATGGCATTCGACTAAGCTACAATAAAGATGAGGAATACTTTCTTTAGATGGCCTTAAAAATCTCCCCATGTAAAGTCGCTGCATGTTAGGTAGCCTGAGACAACAGCCGACATTTGGCGACGCTACCACTGGTTTTCCCGCCAAATGACGTCTGAGAAGCGAGCGCAGAAATTCCATACTGATGACGCGGCACTACCCACATCTGGGTAGTGCTTCTGATTGGTCGTGTCGCGTGAAAATTTGATTCAACCAATCAGAAGCACTATCCAGATCTGGATACTGACGCGTCATCAGTATGGAATTTCTGCGTTCGTTTCTTAGACGTCTTTTGGCGGGGAAACCAGTGATATCGTCGCCAAATGACGGCTGGTTTCTCAGGCAAGATGTTAGGTAATCCAAGACATTCTTGGATTCTAGATTCCACGCTGTGGATTCTGGATTCCAGCTATTGGATTCCTGATTCTTGTCAATGGAACTTGGATTCCGGATTCCTTGAGCTTTACTCCTGATTCCAAAGGCCAGGATTCTAAATTTAGCAAAAAAAAATTACCCGGATTCCGTGTTCCGGATTACCTGACGTGGGGCGATAGGAGGGCTGTTTGAAGCGACAGTTCCAGGGAATGTTAGTAAGGTGTCGTGTCCAAGTGCACACTGCTGAACCAATAATATTACTTACCACCATTCCACACCGATACACAAAACTTTCTACTACGTAGACCGAGACCGCAGTTGTCATGATAGGCGCATGTGCAATTCTGCTCGTAAAGGAGTGCGGTAATCTTCTCTTGTGTTAGGTGATAAAGCTATTTTGTCTTATCGTCGTCAATTTAATAAGTCCTAACCTGTCAAGCCAGTTCTTAGTTGTAAGCTACAAGATGCAAGTTAATCAGTCGCGACTCTTCTGCTGTAGTTGTGTCAGTTTCAAAGCACTTCAGTGTACTTGCTTCGCATCTCAAAACTCCGTGTATTATTTGCTCAGAGCTTCAAATCTCTACAGAAAAGTCTTCAAAGGTCTGAATCATTTACCGTGTTTTTAGGTTTTGTCAACATCCTTGTGACCTTCCAGCTGGTGATGAAAGATGAATTCGATATTGCTCTTGTTAACCGTAGCAGCAGCCAGTTTATAGACAAGGAAAGATGGATTAAGGCTATGGTAAGACAATGAGTCTTAATCCTTGTTAATGCTCTTATTCTCTAAACTTAATAAGTATCTTGGTAATTTGTTTGCGGTAGAAAGTCCCGGAATAGCCTCAAATGGTACCAGTTATCTTGGGTCCTATTCTGCAGGGATTTGCGCAGCGAAGTCAGTTATTGGCCCTGACTTCTCTTCATAATTATAGTGAGGGATCGATTATCTAATCCCAAGCTCCAAATGCTCGTTGAGCTTGCTCGCTTTTTTGCTACTTGTTTTCCTTCATTCGAGATACAACTTCTCCTCAATTCCAATTCAACCAGGATTTCCACCTAGGGGAACCTGAGTTCTGTGAGTGAGAACAAATCATTAACTTCATAATATAATGTCAATTAATGAACAAATCAGACAAATGTACATTAATTTTGCAGGTAATGCGCCATTTCAATAAATCCGACGATTTGGATATATATGACGTCAACGTTCTACGATTTAGGTATTAATAGACGTTACATCTTTATACCCATACCCTGAAAATTGCAAGGTCATTACGCCAGAGGTCTTGAGTAGAACGGCAATTTATTAGGAGATGTGTTTTAGGGATTGGCTTTCATTTAGAAAAAAATATGAATTAGAATAATTTCGTACTTTATAATTCATACGCAAAGGTCCTTGAATAAGCATAATTGTGCCAAAAAATCGTAAACCGCCAAAAAGGGTTTGGTGCGAATAATTGTACGTGCAGGGTGGCGTTTCTATATAGACCTCATAAAGATATATATATATTTTTGCCTTAGCCAACTTATTACTGCTGAATAATGGGATTGAAGGGGAGAAAAACGGGTGCTTTGTTCGTTAGATATATGTCTGTTTTTCACATTTCAAGGTCTTAACCCTCGAAGGTACATGCAAATTCTTACCCCCTCCGTGGTATAAGGGGGTGGATGTACCCACCCCACTTAGAGTTTTCGATATGTTGCAGTATTTCGGAACGATTTTACCTTCAGTGCAAAGCCTTTGATCTTCTCTACAAGATGAGGTATATTTAATGGGTGGTGGCGCTGCTGGGGGGCCTGTGACGTCACCAATAATGGTCGCTATCTTGGCCGCCATCTTGGATGTTACCAAGTATTAGAAATCAGGTTAAAACCGATAGAAATGGTGATTTTTTTTGTGCTTGAGATGAAAAATAACACATAAATAAGCACTTTGCATGATTCTAGCACAAGAACTACTTTTATTGTTGAAAAAAGTTGAAAAAACATGTACTTTCACTCAAAAATGGCTTGACCTCCTCCTATTTATGACGCCATATCTCGTAACCATAGAAACTGACCATCACTGAACTTGACTCAAAATGCGCGCGAGAGACGAACAAACATTTCCTGAAAACATTAGGTGCTGATGTTTTATCCTCTAGGAGTGGCAACCACCCCCCTTGTACGTCCGAGGGTTAAAATAAAAAAAGTACACGCAAATGGATGTACTTATGCTTAAGTATATGCACAAATGGATGTACTTATGCTTTCTATTACAGCAACGGCAGCCTAAAAGCTGATGTTGGCATTTTAGCAACCATTAATGGAAACACTACTTCAAAAAGCGAGGCTATTGATTATTTAATAAATGGGATTGACGTTGCCTTAGGAAAGCACATAAAAGGATTTATTCTATTAGGTAAGGAGACAATAAAATTAAATCGTATGTTTTACTTTTTTAAATAAACTTTCACTAGTGTAAAGCCAAAAGAAATACACACAAAAAAAGAAAAAACAAATAAAAACAAGGTGACCAAGGTAAAAATGGTACAGCACTTTTTGCGCGTCGTATTTAATCTTTCTTATCGCTGTTCAATTTGCCATGAAACACTCTATCTCGTGTTTGATGTATCAATAAATAGGATCTTATTCGTGCTCAAATGCTACCCGCGTTTGCTTCGTTGCATTATAGGACGAACACAATCTACTGTGACAAAAGCTTTTGTTTTTAATGAATAGTTTTTATCGGATCATAAGTGTAACTTGTGATTCTTTTTTTATTCCTTAATAAGAAAAACCACAACCGCCAAGAAACTTGAAAGCAACTAATATACAAAACAGCTACTTCGTATTAACTTGGGATGGGCCAGATAATGGCAAGTATTACAGGATAGATAACTACACCATCGAACGAAAGAGAGAAACATCCAATAACTTTACAGTTGTAAAGACACTGCCATATACGCGTACAGGAATGATAATGGAGGACTTAAAACCCGCTACAGAGTACACAATTCGGTTGTCAAGCAACAACATATATGGAAGATCTGATGGTGTCTCTATAACACAAATGACTCGACCCGGTATGTAGTATTTATGTAGCCCTTTGGTTAAACTTCTATACTAAGAATATTTCAACGATAATAAGACTGGGTTAAAGAATTAGACAAATTGACGCCATAACATTCCCTTTATAGCATACTAAAATTCGTAGCAACAATAACTAATCTATTTGCGCATGCCGCAGCTGTACTCACCCTCGCAGAAAAGTTAAGTTTTACTTCAGTCAATTTTGCTCAATGGCTACAACGGTATAATATATGTAAGCACAGTATCCAAGCCATGTTTTCATTAGCTGAACGCTGTCCTGCGTTTTTAAAGCACGGCATTGGAAACCCCGCGTTTATGTTTGCTAGGCGTTTGATAGACAGAATACCCTACGGGGATTGGGAGATCCAGAATTTGGATTGGATTGGGAGATCCAGAATTTTTTTAAGAGGGTTGCCGAAGCCAATAGACCACTAAAATATACATATGAACTTATCGTAATACGTTTGACGCACTTTGTAAATTACTTTGTAAATTAGAAAGGATGAACATAACTGCAAACTGGTACTGTACCGCTGCTGAAGGACTTGCAATGTCTAAACCGAGAAAACTTGATATGAAATTTCAGTCATTAAGAATGATAAATTATTGTTGTTTTCCTTCGCGGATTGTTTAAACGTTGCTTCAATTAACTTTGGGAAAGCAAAAAAAACTTGGCAACATTCCAGTTGTCTATGGCTACAAGTGTTCACCGTATTCACAAAAAATGCGCAAAACCTGCTAGTTGGCCAAAATTGAAGACGCAGCCATTCTTCTAAACATTTTATACTGTACAGGGTCGTGCGCCACAAATTTCTCGCAAACCGGGGGATTATTAGCCCGGTAATCCACGCCCCTCCATTTGTTCGACCCCTGTGTACATTCCCCATGTTTAACCTCTCATAACCGAGTACAATCTCAAAATATGCTGAACCTGGTTTTAAACTCGTCGCCTATTGGTTGAAAGATATAACACACCAGCAATGCCTTGCACATAATTTACAAATTTGTTGGCTCAGTATCTTTTGGTAGTGCATGACGAATTGGCCATTTTATGTTTCGTTTTCAGGGAAACACACGAGGACATTGCATTAGATCTAAATTGGGTCATGAGCTGTTATTGGCTATATACTTTCGGTTAGTTTTTAGAACGACTTAAAATGTCGCTATGCGATGTGGAGAGTTTAGTTTCATTACCTTTGACTCACAAGTAAAAGTACAGGTGTGATAATTCTTATCAGATTTTATGGGGTAAGTATAGATGAGTTCCACTAGATTGTAATTTACTTGTTGCTGTATTCTCTTCACCTTTTTCCTTCACAGACACGTTCATAAAGGAATTGATTCTGATTATCGTGTTGCCGATCAGCTTGGCCGTTTTCTTTGTCGTGGTCATCTGTCTGAGGTTTAGACCAACCTTTAAAGAAAAAGTAGCTCAAAAGGATGAGGTAAGAGATTACTGAGTACAAAACAGTGTTTTGTTTTTCTCAAAATTCATTTTTCAATTCCTGATGAGCGCTGGTGTAAAATGCACCTCTCCCAAGTCTCACTCTGTGTATTGATCACCCGTCCGACGGTAGGTCTGGAGCGACCGGACATGTCTTTGCAAAATTAAATGTAAATAGCGTAGGAGTTAATACGAAAGTACCAAAAAAAAAATCTTGTTGACATGACCATGTAGCAATATAGTAATGTACTGTAATACAATAAACTTTTAAGTTAAAATTGCCTGGAGGTCGTAAGACCCTAGCTCATTAATGGTAATGTCTGTTCCGTGTACGTCATTTGTAGGTAGAGATGTGGGTACAGGGAGATTGGATCGAACTGCCGAGACCAGATGTCAAACTGAAAGAAAAGTTAGGAGAAGGTGCATTTGGTGAGGTTTATAAGGGTGAGGTACAGATTGATGGAGAAAAGTTGCTGTGTGCAGTGAAGAAAGTAAAAGGTAAATTTTCATTGTCTAGGTTGTTCCGGTGCTTAGAGGCTTAAAAAAAGAAAGTTTTCTTGCCCCAAGTGGTACAAACGCGAGGAAGGTGTAAATCATTGCTTCTGCAAGTTTAATAAGAATGAAGACTACTATTATTTCTGATGTCAAATTTACGTAATAGTAGTCTTTTCAGAAGTTGGAGTTAAATGGAAGTCTAATTCCTGAGACGACAATTGTATGAGACGTCACCAAGTCCACGCGTAACTGCCTAGAAGCATTCAAACAATGTTGAATTCTCTTTTAAAAACGCTGAATATAAGTTTCCGGTCTTCTCCGGACACAAATTTCCGATTAATTTCAAACATTTAATTAGTCTTAAAGTAACTTTTCTGAAATTCACAAATCCAAAAGGAAAACTGGGCGTTTTCCTACTCTGTCAGATTATTCTCTCTTGGCATAACCTAAATTTTCTCATTTTTTTCTTTCAATTAGCTCTTTACAGTGAGGTTTCGCAGTTTCCTGAGATTTTTTAACACCTGTTAAAGGTGTACCATCTTTCAATGCGCAATTTTATTCGTACATTCCAATTATGTTATTTCCATTTCCGGTCTCTTTTTGTTTTGCAGAAAATGCAACAACGCTAGAAAAGCGGGACCTTTTAAATGAACTGAAAATCATGGTCAGAGTTGGTGACCATCCCAATGTTGTAAGTCTCATTGGAGCCTGTACAAGAAATGGTAGGTACATCCAAAAAGCGACCGATACATTAGTCGATACTGCCTGTAAGACACAAGATCCAACAAGTTTACGTATATGTAGGTCAAATTCAAGCAGCCAAAATGAAATGAATCTGCATTGAAAGTTTTCATCTTTCTTAGCTTTGTCAAGCATAACAAAGGACGTCCATTAAGGCCCTTTTAAATGGATCTAGCATATATGCCAGCACCATGTTGAATGAGATGTTCAAGGGATCTCAATTGCAACACGATGCGGACGAAGTTTCAAGAATCCTCCACTCCTTTGCATAGCACGCAAAGGCCTGGGGACGAGGCTGTCCATTTCCCTTCGTAAGTGTGTTCCTGGTGTGACCCCCTTACAAGCACTCCTTACAAAACTGGTGTGGTTGATGAAGTAAACGTATTCACAACTTAATAATTCAGTCCAATTCAGGTACTGCCCACTAAAATGGGGCGTTCAATGTTTTCGCGGGTACTATGACTAACGAAACATATCGTTGATTAAACCCAAGGAAGTTGAATGCGAACATTTCATTAAACATGTTGTCTGACAAATTATTGACACTATACTTCAAACCTCACCTATCCTCTTCGTGCCTCGTGGCACGTAAGGCCTCCACTGAGTTTCTCATTTTTTCTCAGTTTGGGCCGCAACGGTCTTCACTTCCTTCATCCTATTGCGAGGACCGGCCACAAGGTCCCCTTGATGCAGTAAATTTTCTCTGCGTCTGGTTTCTGGAATAACAGGGTTTTAAGGGGGTGGGGATATCAGCCCTCCGCCCAATCCAAAACCTGGAGGACCAGGGGACCACAATTAGGCTAGTCTCTATCCTTCGACCTGCTCGGCGTGGGTGGCTTTACCTGGAGTCAAAGACTCCAGCCGACATAGCTCTATGGGTCATTAGGACAAGCAAACCACTCCACCGCGCTAAGGTGGTGGTGCCTTTGGAGTGGATTTAAACTATAAGAGACATTTTATTTCAGCAAAAGAGCAGTATCTAGCTTTTATCTTTGCTAAATTTATAGTTTCTATGGACCCATTTGTTAGACTAAGGCAGCAAGCAGAAGCGCGATTGATTTTCTCTTCGTTGATTGGAAATCATCAAATAATTTGATCATAAATTCACACATCTCTTTTTGTTTGTTGTTGTCCTTTTTTCTATTCAATTATTTTCACTAATTTATGAAAATTAAAAATTTGTCCCACTAGAACCGATATTAGTGGTTGTGCGACTGGCAGAAAATGGCTGCTTGTTAAGTCACCTCAAGAAAAGTCGAGAAAATTCTTACATCAATGTCCAAGCGAAAAACGCGGTGCATTTCACCCCCGTCGATAGAATCAAGATTGCCAGAGATGTGGCCTGTGGTATGCTGCATCTGGCGAGCAAAGTGGTAAATATAGTTTATATTGTATACGCCAGCGATTATTTAACTTTTGTTTGTTCGTCTGGCGCAGTAGCATTTTAATGGAGCCTAAATCATTAGACCTTTTTTTTTTCTTTCTTTTCGTTTTTCTGTTTTTCTAATTTTCAGAAACAAATATCAGTCTCCTAAACTGTATTTTTATTACGCCCCTCTTCCCCTCTTTCCCTTCAGTTGTCTTATCCAGTCTATAGATGGTCTGCTTAATGCAGGCTTCACTAAATGTTGCCTCGAAGAAAAGGCCGGTTTTGCTCAGTAACAATATAAATGATTTATCTTGAGTAAGATTGAAGACTTATTATTTATTCGTTCCCTGATTGACGTGAAGGCAGTTTAGAGATCTCCTCTGGGTCCCGTCATCATCATCATCATCATCATCATCATCATCATCATCATCATCATTATCATCATCATCGTCATCATCATCGTCATTATTATCATCATCACCATCATTATTATTATCAGCATCATCACCATCTTTATCATTATCATCGTTACCATCGCCAACGCCATCAGCATCTTCTTCATAATCACAATCATCATCATCATCATCATCATCATCATCATCATCACCATCTTCATTATCACTATCATCTTCATCGTCATCATCTTTAAATGTGTAATTTCTTTTCGTTTATCTCATCACAGTGTGTCCACCGTGACCTTGCGGCCCGGAATGTGTTGCTCGGCAAGAATAATATTGCTATGGTTTCTGATTTTGGTCTCTCACGTGATGTATATGAAAGTGGAGAATACGAAAACACTTCTGGGGTAAGAGAATGTATATATTTAATCGCCTTTTTAAGTCGTTTGTTGTTGTCCTGTCTTTTTCTTGATAATCGTTTCCTCTGTCTTATTAGTTAGTAAAAGAGTTTGATTCAGTTTCCCCGGTGGGTTGGAGTTTCTTCCTTGTTTAATTTCTTGTTTGTGAAATCACACGGAACCTCATCCGTTCCCGTTTTAACATCGACTTACGATTTGCCACTTACGCTATAATACAGAAAATTCGGATAGCTTTTCAGGCTAGATCTCAAATATCAAAAAATAAATTCAAGGATAAAAACGCAGCTCCCTCCTAAATAGCTAAAACAGCTTCCCCCTCCCCTTTTTTAGTTTATAGTTTTATCCCTGATTACATGTATCGATCTTCAATAAACCATTACTTGATCTTCAATTCAAGTACAGATAGTTTCCAGGCCCAGTTCACGGTTTTCTGACGTCAACGATAATTCCTTAAATATAATTCCTTACCTAGGGAATGTTACCTGTTCGATGGATGGCGATGGAGTCTTTAGAGGATTACACATACACCACCAAATCTGACGTGTAAGAGTCGTTGTTTATACAACATTAACTACATGACGTAGTCTTCAATTGCTATTTAGTACGTGCAGACTTTGGAGACTTAAGCAACACATCATTTTCTTATCACTTACCTTTCAAGGCATCTTTTGCAGGGTTGTACGTTTCTTTTTGCTTCGGTGTTTTCATTTTAATTATTGCCAGACGTAAGAGGAGATAATTATAAAGAATGCAAATTATTTCATGAAATTCTGACTGCATTTTCTACAATATAATATCGATTAAGGAGCTGTTCCATTTATTTAACATAGCATTGTTTATCAAGGCTTTATTTGTTTGTTTTTGTTTTTCACCATGCACGCCAAGGCATTAACTTCACTTCTTTTCTGCTTTCTTCGCCTCACTAAATTGTTTTACTTAATTTGAAACATCATCACACACTAGAGAAAAATCACCCCAATTTGGAATTATTTGCAACAACTTTGTTGGCTCTAAAGTTTTCTTTTCCAAACTTTGCCTGCCAATCAGTTTGGCATATATTTTGACTTCAAAATGCCAAAATGTGTCGTCATAATTGCTGACGTCATTCATACGTAAATTTCAAATTTTATAATCTTTTGTGTTTGTATATCAATTCTAAAAGAACTATTCAGGGGGAGTTGAAAGATGAAAAAAAAAATTCTAATATCTTACATATGAGCTGAAATTTAACGCTTTGGATTTGGATAAATTTGTACCACAAAGACGCTGTATCCTCCCCCGTTAACCCTCGGACGTACACGCAAATTGAGACCCCCACGTGGTACAAGGGGGGTGGATGGACCCTCCTAGAGTTTTTGATATGTTGTAGTATTTCGAAACGATTTTACCTTTAGTGGAAAGCCTTTGATTTTCTTAACAAGATGAGATATAATTTATGGGTGGTGGCGCTGCTGGAGGCCTGTGACGTCACCAACAATGGTCGCAATCTTGGCCGCCATCTTGAATTTTACCAAGAATTAGAAATCAGGTTAAAACCGATAGAAATGGTGATTGTTTTCCTTGACATGAAAAATAACGCATAAATAAGCACTTTGCATGATTTTAGCACAAGGTTTACTTTTATTGTTGAAAAAAGTTTGAAAACATGTACGTTCACTCAAAAATTGCTTGATCACCTACTACTTATGACGTCATGTCTCATAACCATAGAAACTGACCATCACTAAACTTGACTCAAAATGCGCGCAAGGGATGAAAAAACAAGGAAAATTTTCAGAAAAACCTTAGGGAGTGGAGGGGGGTGGCATCCAACCCCCTCCTGTGTGTCCGAGGGTTAAATAAATCTAAATTTAAACATTTTATTGTCGCGTCACCATAGTTATTTACTATAAACATAACCCATCTCTACTGTCAAAAGGTAAATAAAAAAGAAAATTTTAAAAAAGAAAATCCCCAGCCGCACAAAAACCAAGAAAGCAGATTTGTGACGTCATTAAAAGGTCACTTGATTATTTCTTTTTTGCGTAAATTTGCGTTTTTGCGTCAAAAAAACGAAAAACTAAAACGATACGATTTTTAGCAACTAGGTTTATGTAACCGGAAAATCATCTTATTTTGCAAAAAAGTGTAAAAATTAAATCAAAGGGTTCGATTTTAAGGAAAAATATGGTTCTGGGGTGCACCCAATTTGGTGACGTCAGCCCTCGTGACGTCATAATATGACTTTTTATGTTAATCAAAAACTTGAAATTACCTGGTCAACAATCTCAGTCTATCTGGTAAGTCTGGTCAAGAAATGAAAAGAAGTGCAAAAGATACGTAGGGTGGGCCAAAAATGACCGATTTTTCCCCAGTGTAATATAAATCATCGAGTCAATAAATAGCGGCATAATATACAGTTTCATACATGACTGCAAGGTTGATTTGTCCAGTTGAGTTGGTGGGTACCTTTATTTTTTCCAGCCTCTATCGGGAAGTCAATGACATAAAACTTAATAGTGCACAGTTACATGTAGGTCCAATCTCGCATGTCATGATACACATCCACTGTAGACACTTAGTAACACTAATGTAACTATTGAAAGTTGACCATGTCAACTTGAACACATGAGAAATTTGTACAAAGGGGTACGTTAGTTTATCGTTTGTCTCACTTTTGCCACTTTGATATTGATCGCGACGTTTCGACCCCACACTGGAGGTCTTCATCAGGCATCAGTTGATAGTGTCGATTTACTGAGTCGGACTGTTTGTAAAACCGTGGTTGTTAGTGATTGGTGTATCACGAACCTCCCTCATGGTTGGTGGGTTTCGATGCAAAGCAATGTTGGTATTATCAGAGGAGGAAACTGTTCCCTCAGCGGTCCCTTGTAGAAGCAATCGGCTGTTATGTTGTCTGATTGTAGGCATCCACGGTTCAGGAATCTCAGTTCCACTGTCCCTGTTGATGTTGTTAAGGTGAAGTCTTATGTGAATAGCCTCTAAAACTCTACGAGAGTACCAGTGGGGGTCTCGGTCAATGAAATTGACTTCATCCCAGCCCTGATATTAGCCTGATTTAGCAACAGAACAGGAACGTCATTTGACGACGGGAAAGCGTACGGAAAGGACTAAACTCGACTTCCGGTACCCAATTTGCCGCTCTGCCATTGGTCAAGCCAGTTGTTGGATTTTCGCGCGCAATCGTCAACAGACGTTCCCGTTTTGTTGTTAAATCAGTCTATTGCTCGGTCTCACTAACAACCACGTTGGTACAAATAGTCCGACTCAATATATCGACACTATCGTCTGATGAAAACCTGCAGTGTGAAGCGTCGCGATCAATATCAAAGTGACAGTCGTGAGACAAACGATAAACTAAACCCTTTACACACATCATCCACGATGATTATTATCTTTCATGACTTGAGAATTTTTTTTTTCAGCTGGTCATTTGGAGTAGTTATGTGGGAAATAGAATCTGGAGGTAGAGCCTATCATTGTATTATCTAGATCTCAACTTTGATACTACCTACTACTATCAAGCTTTATTACGTATCACTACCCAAAACTGGGTGATCCTTCCGATTGGTCCTACCGCGTTGGAAATGAGCTTGATGTAAAAATGACATGAAATGTTTAATTATGATTCAGTTAAACGGATATATACTCTATCATCGATGGGTACCAAGCAACAACCGCTTGCCCAACCTGACCCTGCCGTGTATTATAATAATTATTATAAAAATCTAATAATAATGATAATAATGATAATAATAATTATGATGATGATGATGATGATGATGATGATGATGATGATGATGATGATGATGATGATAAAAGCCTGCACATCGTTTACTTTAACTTGCAATTGTGGTCTTTTTGATTATAGGAAAAGTGCCATATTCTGGTTTGGGAGGCATAGAAATTATAGACTACTTAAAGGCTGGAAAGAAGTTAAAACAACCTGATGGATGTTCGGATGAGATGTAAGTCCTTATAATTACAATAATCAAGTATAATAATGATGATGATAATCATAAGTTCCAATATTTTACTTAAAATATTTGAAGTTTATTTGTTTATTAAAGTTTATTTGTATGATGCCATTTATTAAAACAGAAATTATGCAATCTAGAGACGATGCAATTTGGAGCAAAACTAGTTCGACCCCTGATTAATTTACACTACTGTTGAGAGCCAATCAGATTGCAGGGATCAGCAGTGATTTCAAAATAGATGTTACGAAAGCTGATATCCGAACACCCGTCTTTTCGAGTTAGCTCATAAACTTCTTAAGTTAACTTCGTGATTTTACTTAATATTCAGCTATCAAATAATGAGGTCATGCTGGAACTTGGAACCTTCGAAACGTCCAACATTTCTCGAGCTTTTGACGTCACTTGAGCAAGAATTAGAGAAGAAGGGAGTAAGTACAAAATTGTTATGGGGAAGGGGTTGAGTAAGATTAGAAACCTTTGAAATAATATAAAGTCGAACATTCTATCAGTGCACCCTTTGTAATAAGTAGTCACTTCCAGGTCGCAGGAAGCGAAAAACAAAGCCCGATCTTAATAGGCTTAAACTTAGTTCCGTACCCTGTAGTTCGACCCAATAAGAG